CTTAGTTTAACTCTGAATTGGGCCACTATTTTAGAGTTTCGGCTGGCTTAGGACACAAAAGACTGTAACTTCTTATCTTGTGTACAGAGTACAAAAAGTGTTCATTGTCAGATAGGCACCACCCAATACAATGTGCCAGTGACCTGGCAAATTGTTAAGCTCTCAGTTACAACTTCTTGGGTTAAAAAGTGGTGCAGGTTCAACACATATTGTTGAGTTGAAAGGCTGATTCATACTGCCACCTGCTGACGGACATGATGTGAAACACTTCTGTCATTTTGCTGTATCCCAATACTATATGTATTCCCACCAATGTGTATTTCAGGATAGAAGGTATCAAAGTCAGTAAAGATTTGAGTGTTTTTACATGCGAGAAAAAAAACATTCACATTGTATGGCTGTTCAATTCCATAAGTGCACATACAGACACATTTGGACAGTAATAAATGGCTTTTATGTTTATGTAATTTTATATGTAAAGAGTTGTTCTTAAAAAAATATTACAGTATAAAAATAAAAGTATTTCAACAACCAAAAATAAATTAGAATACTGAAAACAATGAAATACAGTGGCCACACAAACACATTATCATGGCTACATCCACTAAACTCTACAACTCAAAAACACACAACTCAGTTGTCACATTTCTAAACATAAGATTGCTGATAGACTGATGTTCTGTTCACAGCATTTTACCAAAAAATATAAATCTTGTTTTTAAAAACTAGATCTTTGTAAACACAAGAAACACAGGACATGTTCAAAGGAGGAGGAAGGTTAACAGCACTCTCTGTCAAAGAGTACCTTCTCCTCTCTGGATTTAACTGTTAGAAAGCAACATCGTTTTACAGGTCCAGTCAACTTGAAGTGTCCCTAAAGTTATGAGTCAGGGTATGAGGTAACAGTCCAAGGTGAGTCAAATGTAGTAAACACAAACCTGACAGGTAACTCCCAACCATACTGCCTATGGTAAGTGCTGTTTCTTCTCCTTTATAAACAGAAGACGCCTTTGATCGTGGGTCATCAAGTCTCTGCTGACACTCATTATATTGAGTCCTCATTATGCCCCAAACCCTAACAGCGTTAATGCTTTGGAGAACAGAACTGCAAATGAAGTATTGCTCCTCTTTGCCGGTAGCCCCTCTGTCATCATAACATACTGTCTGAGAACATTACTCAGCGTTTGTCTCGTCTTTTGTCCATTTCCTTTCGAATTCGAGCCTCTAGAGCTGCCCTCATGGCTGAATCTAGGATGTTCTTCTCTGCAACACGTTCCACCACCTTGTCGGGCTTATCCTCCTTTAGAAACAGACAGAACATTGGGAAATTAAGACCAAAGCACAATTGAAGAGACCAAATAGCCAGAACCATTAGTCAAAGGGATGTGCATTAACCTTGTGCACAAGGATGGAGGTAATGGTACCAGAGTCCGCCTGATAGTCCAACCAGAAGAGCTCAGTTCCATGGGTCTCTGTCTCTGTGCTTGACCCACTCTCAATCCACTCTTCAGCCTCAGCACCAGCCCCTGGCTCGGACCCATCTGAAAAATGAGCACACTCATGCATATTGTCTTCACAGGATTTACTGTGGGTACAACAACAACAACAACAAAAAGCATCAAACTTACGTCTGCGTCGAGGATGGTACACTTGGATATCAGGTCTACGGGGTTTTCTAGGAGTTGTGGTGTGCCTCCGCCGCTGAAGCTCTTTGGCTTGCTTCACCTCCTTATCATAGTCATCTCTTGAGGAGACAAAAAACAATATTTTGTTAGAACTTGGTAAAGTACAGTATACCACATACCAGTGCTGCATGCCTCTAACCTTCTGAGACAACCATGGGGCAATCCTATCATATCATAATAAGATACAATCATGTTTCCAGAAAACAAAAACAAAAATAAATGCTAGACCAACTTAGTCTAAGGTTGAGTGAAAGCTTCTTTATCCTAACTCGTTTTTCTACCTTCAAAAAAGATATTATAGATTTTTTTTATATGTATGTGTGTGTATTTCAGAGACATATTAATTGTGGCATTCTCAAATGCATTATTCTCTTCATCTTACTGATGGTCAGTAACACAACCGGTAGAAATAACAGAAACAGTGTTTAGCATCAGAATATGAGGCGAAAGGTGACTTATACCTTTTATTTCTACATCAACATATCTCACTGAGGTCCTGTCTGAAAAACACAAGTATCCGAATGATGTTCTTTAATAGCTACACTGATTCACCCCGTGACAACACTGAAACAAGCCTGTAACTAACTTTTTTCCCAAACAATCTGCAGCCAGTTAGCTCTAAGTTGTTTTACCTCCAGTGACCTAAACCGAGGATAGCTTCGGCCAACAGGCCTGTACGACCATCCCTTATAGTTTCACCTTGAGCGCCAAAGAAGGTGCATTACCTTCCCTACCACTGAACCTCCCTCCACCTTCACTCCAACTTCAATAAGACACAGATACGTGGTTGCAGCTTTAGATAGTGTGACTAGATGTTGTGAACTAGCCACTAGCAGCTAACGGTGGTTGAGGAAATCACCTAGCAATCTGGTTCCTCCGGATATGGTGCAGGAAGCCGTGGCTCATATCCAAACGGCCCCCTCGTTTGTATTTCAGCTCATGCGCTTCATCGTCTCTTAAAATATCCATTTCAACAAACAGTGACAGCACAGTGACAGTATGTGTGAGCCTAAAGGCGCTAATGATTGCAACAAGTCTCGGTCAGATCCATAGACGCTCACAAAAAGCTACATGCTAGCTAACAATAAATCGTTGTCCAATTGTTGCATTCCCGGAGTTTACAAATTAAAAAAAAAAAATATATATATATATAAAAAGTGCACATTGTTTTGTTGAAAACGTATAAAACAACACAAAAAAAAAGAAAACAGTCATTAAATACACACAATCCAATGTAAAAGTGAAGCTATGCTGTCACAAAATCAGCATTTTTTTTGTCATTGAGCGGCTCAAGGCTCGATATCGCTGCCTTCACAACTCCGGGTTAGTTTTTTTTTTTACTCCGCTCTCTGGCAGTAACAAGACAAACCACCGCGAGTTTGGACGCGTACGGTTCTCGGTTCATTCATCTCTTCCGAATAAAGTTGCACCGTCGCCGCTCGTTTTGACGTGAAGCCCGCATGCTGACGGCCGTGATGGTTTCTCTGAAGCGAGAAAGAGAGGCTGAGGTGGACGACGATGACGACGAAGACACGGGTTAGTGTGTTTACTTCTAACGTGTGTGTGTGTGTGTGCTACGTTTGTTAGCCGGTTGCTAACGCGGCAGCCGAACGAAGGGGCGTTCGATTTCGGTCACGGGTCGGCACAGTCACACACGGGTGTAGTTTTAACAGGCTCAACGCGCATGCACCGCCCGCCCGGTTCACTCTGTGTATCAAATCCATCCAAAAAAAAAAAAAATATTTAACCTAAACTCTGGGTGAGCTAGCCTGTTTTAGTTAGCTCACATTCAACTGTTTGCACTCAGTCTTGGTTGAAACTGTTTTGTGTTTTGTTGCAGTGGCAGCCAAAATAGGCCGAGGACGTGTAGCAGAGGACCGGAGGAGCCGTCACTGTCCTTACCTTGACACCATAAACAGGCAAGATAAAAGTTGAATGTGCTAAAATGCTAGTTAGCACTGTCCTCCTCTGGAGCTCTTCAGCTGATTCCCAGTTTTGTTTATGTATCCATCAGGAGTGTGCTGGACTTTGACTTTGAGAAACTCTGCTCCATCTCTCTCTCCCACATCAACGTCTATGCCTGCCTTATATGTGGGAAATACTTTCAAGGTGAGGTGAATCATGTGATATTTAACCAGGGATCAAACACCTTGTTGTGCTTGGGCTGATTCACTCATGTATGCTTGCTTGTAGGTAGAGGTCTGAAGTCCCACGCTTACACTCACAGTGTGCAGTTTACCCATCATGTGTTCCTGAATCTGCACACTCTCAAGTTCTACTGTCTGCCAGACAACTACGAGATCATTGACTCTTCACTAGAAGACATCACGGTACGAAAAATACAGGCTAATGGCATGTTATTGTTATACTTTTGACTGGAAATGTTGAATTAATTTGCATGTTTAATGTTTCCTTTAAAAAAAAAAAATTAAATCACACAGTGAAAGTTGTTATGGTTACAGCTGAGAGATAAATAATCAATATAATATTGGCATTGTGTTATAAAACTATGAATTGTTCTATCAGAATAGCTTACGTATCATCTATTACTGGTTTTAAAGGTTGTAGTCAAGTAATACAATATTTAGTTTGTTTTGTCTAAAGCTGCTTCATGTGCTGACAGCAGAGTCAAAAATACTGTAATTTGTTGACACTTTCTCATTTTCTTTACAGTATGTGTTGAAGCCAACTTTCACCAAGCAGCACATTGCAGGACTGGACAAGCAAGGAAAGTTGTACCGAGCCTATGATGGTACGACCTACCTGCCAGGCATTGTAGGCCTTAACAACATCAAAGCCAATGACTACGCCAATGTGGTGCTACAGGTATGAACAACTGGAGTGGACCGTATGTGAACTTTGTCATAAACCTTTTAATTAATCCCTACCATTTGATAATTGCCTCTTTTTCCCTAGGCCTTTTCCAATGTTCCACCTTTGCGAAACTACTTCCTGGAGGAGGAAAACTACAGAGATATCCGCAGGCCACCGGGGGACATCATGTTCCTCTTGGTGCAGAGGTTTGGTGAGCTGATGCGCAAACTTTGGAATCCGAGAAACTTCAAGGCCCATGTGTCTCCCCATGAGATGCTGCAGGCTGTGGTGCTATGCAGCAAGAAGAACTTCCAAATTACCAAACAAGGTGATTGCCAGAATCTTTAGTAATGTACTATACTAGGAACTGCAGATATCACGTAGGCCTTTAACACTATGCTGCCTGATGGGGACTAGTTATGGTGCTGATTTATTTTCTGTTCTGCAGGAGATGCTGTGGACTTCATGACGTGGTTCTTGAATGCTCTGCATGGTGCTCTTGGAGGAACAAAGAAAAAAAAACCATGTGAGTAGGAGAATCAGTTAAATCCTTCATTATTAGGTCATAATACATGCAAAAAATAAAGCATTTAATGTGATATTTAGATGAGTATATGGCACATTAATGATAAAGCCAAGTTAAAAAAACTGGGATACAAGTTTAGATCAATTTAAACTTTTTTCTTTCTCTAAAGTTGAATTTAGTTTAGAGTTAGCATTTAATAATGTAAAATGTTTCCAGTTATTAATTGTTAGGAAAAATGTGAATTAACCTCTGTTCTCATTTGTCTTTGTGCCCTCAAAGCAATCATTACAAAAGCATTTCAAGGCTCCATGCGGATCTTCTCCAAGAAACTTCCACACCCAGACTTGGTGAGTTTCCTGCTTGTGTTATGAAAGCATTGATTGATCAAGAATATGAATAATTGTACGCATATAATATCTCATGTTTATTCATCAGTAATGTTCGAATTACCTGACCAAAGTCTTTTGTAGATAATGTTTTAAAAAAGGTTTATTTTCCTTCTGAATTAATTGGTTGAATTATGGTTTACTGAAGGCTGAAAATTTTTGGATTTTGAGTTTTGTTTTTTCCCATTTCCCAGCTACCGGAGGAGAAAGAGGCGTTGCTTGTGACAGAGGAGTACCAGGAGCAGATGTCCGAGTCCACCTTCCTGTTTCTGACCCTTGACCTCCCAACAGCTCCACTGTACAAGGATGAGAAGGAGCAGCTTATAATCCCGCAGGTCCCTCTCTTCAACATCCTGGGCAAGTTCAATGGCAGCACTGAGAAGGTAACGATTAATCTTCTCTTACATATGATGTGTAAAATAAAATAAAAGTGGGGGGAAAAGGACTTCATGTTGCAATGCAGAAAAGCTTTGTTGGTGATGAAGATTTGGTGATTACATAATGGACATAGTCACACTTAAAACGTGTAATTACCACAACAGCATTTTGAGGAGGCTATATTATTAAAACGAGAAAATATCTGTGCAAAATTTCCTGTCTCATTTACATTCAGGAATACAAAACCTACAAAGAGAATTTTCTCAAGAGGTTCCAGCTGACCAAACTGCCTCCGTACCTTATATTTTGCATCAAAAGATTCACCAAGAACAACTTCTTTGTGGAAAAGAACCCCACAATTGTCAACTTCCCTATCACGTAAGTACTGTTCATATACATAAAATGAAATGTGTATCCTGGATCAAAGTGCTTCACAGAGCCATAAAGTGCATTTTGTTGATAGTGAATGGTTATTATTATTGTAGACTGTAACTGTTGTAAGAAGGGATGTTAAGGATGTGTATTTTGTCATTAGTATAAATATGCACTAGTTCACGTTGTCACTTTTTATGGGCTTCAACAGGAATGTAGACCTTCGTGAGTACTTGACAGAAGAAGCTCAAGTTACAGAGAAGAACACAACTTATGACCTCGTTGCCAACGTAGTGCATGATGGGAAACCCACAGAGGGAGCATACAGAATACACGTTCTGCATCATGTAAGTTTCAGCCAGATATTTGACATTTAACAGATGTTTGGTGATGTTACTACAAACATTAACCAGTGCATTCAGCTATATCTTGATCAAGCTATTGTTGTATTATTATGGGCATCAGTCACCATCTCTCTTTGTGTTTAATCAGGGAACTGGGAAGTGGTATGAGATGCAGGACCTGCAGGTGACTGACATTCTCCCTCAGATGATTACACTGTCAGAGGCCTACATCCAGGCAAGTCCTCCCACTCATTCTGTGGATGTTTTTCTTGTACAACACAAAATGACATAAAAGATGAATCCCCTTTTTATCTGATGGCATTCACAGCACACTCAGATGAATCTTATTTCCAATCTACAGTACAGAAGACAGATGCAGTGTTTTTGATAATGACACAGACTATTTAGTGTGTTTTTAACTTATAATGCTTAGGAGCATTAGTAGTGATATGAAGTAAATAAGTAAATAAAGGCCAGTATTACTCTTTACAACATTCAGGTTCCTTTCCAATCATAGATACATTATAAAAATAAACACTATATAAAATCTGCAAATAATTTGTATTCTTTAAATACCGGTACATTCTTTGTGTTGTACTAATTGCCTTATTGTAAAGACATTTAAAAAAGGACTGCTAAATTAAAAATGAACTAATCTGGTCTTTTTAGTGGTTTCAGTCATTTTCTGACTTCAGAGGCTTTGTCGTCTGAAACGTACAAACTAAGTGGAGGACTGAATTATTGTAATTTCTTGGTTTAAAAACTGTCAAAGTTAATAATACAGATTATTAGGACATTGTCAGCAGCTAAAAACCAGTATCAGCCTGAAGTTTTAAATCACTATAAAGTAAAATGACTAACAATGAGACCTAGATTTGTATATAGCTCATTATGGTAACAAATGTTTATTTTTCTTTCCTAGATCTGGAAGAGACAAGACAGTGATGATGACACAAACAACCACACAGGGGTGTAAGTGAGGCAGTGTAAATAGCCAGAAGTGTTGTCACTATTGGAAATGAGCTGGGTATTTAAGTGATTGAAAATAACAACAGATTATAGGAGTGTGGCAACAGAGAATCAGGACTTTTTCTTTATAGCCACAAAAAAAGAAATGTAAATGTTTTTGTTTTTTCACTGTTTTATCTTTTTACTATAAATAAACAAGCTCTGGGACACATGTCTCTGTATGTTGAATTTGAATAACCAACCTTTTGATTTTATTTTAGTTTAGTATGTGGTTACTTGCACCAGGGGTCATAGAACAGCCACAAGGTAACAGAAGAAGCAGCTCTGCAGCTTTATTGAGTAGCCAGTTGTCCAAATAATAATACTGTCTTATCACATAGTTCATAATAACTTACATGTAGCAATGTATTGAATAACACTGTTCACAAAACTGTTTACCCCTGCAGAAACTAAGGTTTCAGACTGAATCCCAGCCTCAGTCTTGTGACATTCATGCAAACCAGAGAATTTCCTGATGAATATTTATGGCTGATTCCCCCAACAGTAAAACACGAAAAGTAAATCAGTGCATTACATTTATAAAACTTTTAAGAGTTGATTAGTGCAATAATAATTGTAAAAAAAAAAGAAAGTAGTTCTTTCAGTGCACCTAATTTTTGAGCTGCAGGCTGGCAGTTTCACTTCTTCCACATGTATTTCTTGCAGAAGGCCTGGTTCTGCAAATAAAAACAGAAAAAGGATGTGGAACTGAAATTCGCAAGATCAAATTACTACAGTTTAGATGGTGAACTGCATTTTGTTGTCTCAGTACACAGTATTCTGTGCAATGACAAAGTTGAATGTAACGTTACCTAAAGTGAGTTAAAAGCAAGGAATCAATAATCTTTACAAAAGACGAGTTTGAAACAGTAGACTCAAAAGGAAGGAACAGCTGTTAAAAGTGGGCAGGAGTTTATCAGGTCCTGTACATGATGGTTGTGAAACACTGCTCGGGATGTGGTAATTTGCTTAAAGGTAAAAGACGATTTAATTGCAAAACATTGCACATGTACACTAATTTTGAGATTGAGACTGACCTGTGCATCACTTTTATCAGCTGAACTGGCAATAATATAGTTTTACTTACACCACACATCTGAGCAGTTTGAATGTTTTTGCACCAGTAGGTTGGTCCCCAAGTACAACGATTGTTTCCCAGCGGCTCCAACTTCTGTGAGGCAACGCACAGATCAGCTTTCTGCAGGACAGATGGGGGGGGGGG